TGTCAGGGGATCCAGCTGTGCGCCTCTCGCCTGCCTCCATCACAAGGGAGAGAGCCTCCTTGTTCCCTCTTATAGGAGGGATGTTCCTTTTTCCTCTGACACATTTTGTACAGAGTGCCTGGTCAGAGTGAGTGACGTCAGGGATCCAGCTGTGCGCTCTCCTGCCTGTCTGACATGCAGAGAGCTGCTGTTCCCCCTCTATGGTCGCTGGGAAAGGTGGGACCTTCGTCTCTACTTTCTCACAGCGGCTGGTATGTATTGTTCCCAGTCTTCATCCCTTCAGGGAACATAGGCATGTTTTGCTATGTTCCAGGGACGGTGATGCGCCATTACGCATGGCACAACAGGCAGGGGGTGTTATTGAGTTGGTGTGTCTGTGCTTCTAGTGCCGGGCGGACCCAGTGGGGCGCAGACTACATCATGCTTTGCCCTTAACCCAATAGCGATAGCCTTAGAGGGCGAAGCCATATACGAAAGAGAACTGAAGTTACCTACTGTAACTTCAGCTTCTATGAGTAAATGGCGTAGCCCTCTAAGTGCTGGGCCCCACTCCTTCCTATTTATACCGGAAGGAGGCCCGAGGGTGGGGCCCACCTTGCGGGTGGGCGTGGACTACAAGTGTTTCATTTCTGCACTGGAGCGCAGGGGGATTACCCAATAGCGATAGCCTTAGAGGGCTACACCATTTACTCATAGAAGCTGGAGTTACAGTAGGTAACTTCAGTTTTGCTGTGTCAGCATCAGATCTCTGCTCTGTTTACTTGGTAAACTAAATCCTATAACTTGCTTTTATTTAGATTGTTTGATGATAATATATTTGCTCTAAAATGACATGCTAATTGTTTTTTCTAGTGATGAATTTGTTAAACCTGCACTCATTATAAAGTCTGTTTGGATATGATCATTAGCTTGATACAGGAGAGGGTGAAAGGAACATGGCTATTCTGTTTGGTGTGTCGATGTGCTGCATATGCACATTCGAAGTTAGAAAACGTAATCCAAATTACAAAAAATACTTGATGTGTATATTTGAGTATTATTTATTTGTTTTGTAATTTTGGTAACCTGTCCCTATGGTCAGGATAATGGCATGTTATATTGGATGGACAGTAGAGTAAATTCATGTGACTGAAGAGCATTCACATCGTCTGAAAATTCAAATTGTGTGAAGATAGCTTGCATGTCAATGCATCTATATATCAATTAAATATTGGGATTAAAACCTTAAATGACTTTTTTTGATGTGAGGCATCTTATTTGTTTGACTTTTCTGGCATGTTCTTATTAATATTGCGTAAGAATGTGACCTCAATTTAACATAATTTGGTCCTGAACTATAGCCGATTTTGACACTGTGTTAGCAGCAATGATTTGCAAATGAAGCACAAAAAAACTGCAGAAAACATAAACAAATAATCCAAAGTATGTGTGTGTATTTTAGTGAACACACATCCATAATGAATGTTACCTCGCTGTATTATGGTAATACATCTCGTTATGTTCCCAGTATTCCACTGTGCAGCTGACACAGATTGTTATGAGTCATTTCTAATGGGAATGCAAGAAGCTGCTTGAATTGGCTGCAATACAAAGATGCAGGAAACAGGCCTGCTATAATATGAAACACAAAAGATAATAAAGGACTGCCCACAAGGGTTTCAATCTTCACTTGAACTGTTTCTCACTGCTCTTCTCTTTCTAACTCTCAGATAAAACCGTGAAAAGAGTCTGAATGCACTCACAGGATAAAATCCCTTCCTCTCCATTTAACCTGATGAACCCACATTGATTACCATAATCAACGATGTAACATTAATTATAGATGTGTGCTCACATACTTGAACATATTTATTATTTATTCAGGTTTCCCTCATTAGTCAAATACTAACAAAAACACAATACTTGTTTGTTCTCCCTTGGCAAAGCCTGGCTGCTCCCACTGTTTGAAAATCTTCTTTCAGGCTCACATGTGACCCACAGTGTCTCTATGTCCACCTATAGCACATTCAACTACACTTTCACAGTTTTCAATAATTGTTGTGATGCCCTGTTTCTCCTCTTCTCTTTTTTCCCTACTCACAGCTGTGATTTTGCCGCCTTCACACTTGATGCCTGTTTTATCTCTCGTTATTTCACTGATGGACTATATTCCCTGCTTCTCCTCTTTACACTGGATGTGCAGGCACTGCCTTTTGTCTTTATGGAGCGACTCCCTGCTGGCACGGTGCCTAGAACAACTCTCTGATCTAATAAACAGCATAATCAGGCCACTTCTCCTGTCGGGGTGTTTCACCCGAGAGCAAACCCCAGAGGCAGAGGGAATTGAAGGTTTATGGCTCTAACGGGGACCAGCTTGTATAGGCCTCAATCCCTCAGTGTGTTAACCGTCTGTTGTATATTATCAGTGTGTCAGCTGTTGTGTGCATGTATGTTTGCAAGTCTGGCTGAGAGCAGCTGCTATGTGTGGACAGTGAAGTCTGTAGGCTGAGTCAAGAATTAAACACTAAAGTCCTCTCCCAGTGTCTTTGTTGCTCAGCAGGAGGTTCAGATCTGGAGGTTTGGGGTACAGCTCTTCTGCCCTCATGACCACTCATGGAGAAAGCACACCAACGCCCTCGTCTCTCTGCAGGAGGAACAGCATCTCTCTGTGGAGGAGGAGAACATTACTGGTGCTCCCGGAGCTTATTCTGATTCCCTGCTTGTCCTCCTCCTCTGCCTCCTGCTGCTGCCGCCTCTTTCCTCTCTGCAGTCCCTCAAATGAACCTCATTGCCATACCAACTCCAAACTTTAAGTTATAAATACCATGTGAGGTGTTTAGCTCCCCACAGAGCCACATATGGTACACCCACCATATTGGCTGTTGTCATGACAGCTGAGGGTATTACGGATAAGCTATCAGATTGTATATTTAGGTTCATTGTTTTGGACCTAAATACACATTTTGTTTTCTAAATATTTATACTTTTATTGAAACCAGAGCATTACAAATCATGAATCCAAAAATGTTCTCCTTTCAGTGGGTTTAGATTAGCGTGATGACAGGCTCTGCTTTCCTCTCACTTGCTTTTCACACCAATTGCCTCGCCATATCTCACCGAAATCTGTTCTTTAAGACATTTCTCAAGAACTGGTTCCTCTGCCACTGCTTTTCTCCACATCTTTCCTGGCTCAATTTCTATGTCAGCATATCCCATGTTAACTCTGCACAGACGTGATTAGGGTTTGAGTTCAGAAGAAAGAGTGCATAATAATCCTTCTGTTATTGCAGAGTTAAAACAAGACAGATGAGATTCAGTTTAACGTTATGTTACAGAACATGTTTTCTTTCAGTGTCTGAATTTCATGGATGTATAAACAGTCAAAGTGGTTTAATACATTCATGGCAGACAAGTCCTCCCAATTTATATGATGATTTCTCGTGCTTCCTGCACTCTGCGCTGCTGGACTAATGCATGCACAGTAATGTGTTTGGACCAGCTAGGGCTGGCATCCTCTGGTTTTAAACAAACAATGCTCAATGGAATATTGCTTTTGTCTTGTACAAACATTTTAAAGGAACATTTAGAGTTGGGAGGGTTGGGGTTGGCGGAAAATTGGAGGTTGTTGGGATACTGTATACCTTAAGCTTATTATTTACAAAACAATCAGGAAATTGCTTGTTATACGCACCATATAAGATCCTGTAGCAACATTATTTAGCTAGAGGCTGCAGAGAGTATTCGTTATATTCCTTATTTTGCAGATTTACTTCAGAATTTAGACATTTATAACATAAGATTTCAGTAAGAAGAAAATAACAACTACACCCTCTCATCTCAGCGTTGATAAGCAAATGGGTCTCAGACTGCTACTGGGGAATTGAATTAGTTTGACAGACGCACGATGAATGAGATGACACAACCTGAGGGCCCTGCTAATGTAGTGTATTATCTGCTGTGTGTTTAGAAATGAGCATGTATTTCAGAATAAATCACTTGGTAGGTGCTGGAAACTATAATGTAAACTATATAGACATAAGACAGCGTAATCAGTTATTTTCGTGAACATTTTTAGCTTTATTGTACTTTGAGTTAGAAATTGAGAAGCTAAATATTTTTGCTTCCAACCTTTTAGAAATACAATATATTCCATTCCATAAACATTTACAATTTTAGAGCAGCAAAAAAACACTGCAAATCTTTTTTGTTGTCAAATAACAAGTCAAAGTTATTTCTTGAATTCAAAAACCTGTAGTTATTTTTTGATGAAACCTTATTCCGCTCTTGTGATCTTCCTTTAACTGTGCTTTCTTCTCGTCTGTATTTGCTTTCCTTTTGGACATTCATAGTTTGGCATTGGAAAAATGGTTCCTTTCTTGAGGAGAGTTTACCACATAACTTACTGTTAAACCACAACATGTTGATTTAACACTAAGGTATTTCGTTCAATACATTACCGAAATATTTAACGTGTAAATTAGTGAGCTTTAAACTTTTGATTGGTGAATCAAAATGTCTAAAGCTCACTAGTTGCTGTTCACCCCCACTTCAAATCTGTATACTTAACTTAGCTAACCAATCTTTAGCTGTAGCTTGATGTTTAGTGCAGAAATACGTGAGATGTATACATTTTCTTATAAAACACTTATGGAAATAAGCATTGTACCCAAATGATTCTTATTATATAAGATACAATATTTATATGTATCCGTAGATGCTTGTGCATGAGTGTGCAGGCTGGAGTTTGTAAAATATGCTGCTCCGAGGTCCTAATTCAATAATATCTTGCTAATAAGTCGACCTGTGTTTCTAATTACAAATGTCATTAGCTGCTCCTTGTTTCTAATCAGCTAATGGGTGTAGAGGAAAGTGGTAATACTGCTCTATTTACCATTGACCTGTGCCCTTCGTGGTCAGGTCGTGACCAGTGTTACTGTAAAACCAATACATCCTACATTTCAAATTGAAGTTTACAAAATTGTTGTTACATAATACTCCTAATTGTATGTGTGTTTGTACAGGGGAAGGAGACAACAGAGGAGGAGGATGAAGTCGCTGTGGGGATGGACAAAGGCTTTATGGATGAATTCTTTGAACAGGTTTGTTTATCTCACCGACCTGATATCTCCATATTTTCTCTATCTTTCTATCTCTCTCTGTGTCAGTGACTATTATTCCATCTCACACATTTACCAGGTTGATAGTAGGCTGATAACTCGCCATCTTAAATTACAGTTCAGGACACACTGCAATCTGCCCGTTTATTATTTATGTCCTCATATTGAGTCTAGTTTTTCAGAGATCTGTAATCAATCTCTTCTCTGGAGAGCAGATATGATTTAGAGCTAGTGATGTTGTTGCATGGACGGTCGTTTATTTTAAAATTTGATTTGAAACAGACTTTATTGATTCCTCATCATAACACTGCTTGTCCAGCATTGGTGATTTCACTTATTTCTCTCTTGTCTTGTGCATACCAGATGTATGCACCTTTCCTGAATCTATGCATTCATATGGGAGTCTGTTCTCTGTACATGCTGTTCACATGTGCTGGGAACACGCCGAACATCGTGATGGCTCTCAGAGGGGGGGCTCCATTTTTAGAGCCTCTATATTGTAATGTAAATCTCCCACAGTGAGTGTCTTTGAAAAGCAGAATAATTTGCCTTGAAAAGGAGACATCATAATCCATTTTTATAGTCATTTTTTATTTATTTATTTGCTGTCTCTGCCGTATTTCTTATATTTTACGAAGCTGTGCTTCTGGTTAGTTAAAATGTCTTTGTTTGTCAATTACATGGTATCACATGGTACATGGGGTTTTAACTTTGAAGTATTTAAATCACCATTGCAAATGCTGCAACAACGGTAGGTATAAAGTGAGGTTGAACGCCATTTAGCAGCATTTGTGAGCTATGAAAGAGGTTTGACAATCAGCTCTTTGATATGTGAGTTTTCAAAGCAATACGAAACAATAAACACATCACCAGGAGAATCATGTGGGAGCGAGCCGCAGGTGCATCAAAAACTCGTTCAGACTAACAGCGAGAAGCAGCTGTCACATAGTGTAACTAATAAACAGGCATACGGACACACTGTACATAACACAGGGTACAACTCCTGCAAGGTGAAGCCACATGGTAGTTCTGGCAGGTAAAGAAGACATTTGAACCATTTAGTACACCTTCAAACTTCCTTCAACTGCAAACAAATAATAGGCATACTTTTTCTCACTTCGATTGCTCAAATGAAAGCCCCTACACGTGTCTGCAGCCTCAGAATCATCCTCGACCCAACCCTTCTTACCTTTTGGCAACTACTTAACCTAAACTGCTCCACCTTGTGAACATTGCCCATCTCCATACCTCCTTACCCATTACTCCATCCCTTCCAGACTTGACTAATGCAATAGCTTCCTCTATGGCTGTCCGAATGAAATCAGAAATACATTTCAATAAGTCCAGAACTCCACTGCCTGCCTGCTCACTTCCACAGTCAGGTTTGACTTCAAAATACTACGCACCCACAAAGCTCTTAACAACCTGGCCCCTCCCTTTCTCTACAGCCTGCTCTCCCCCACATCCATCCCCAAGCTTGGGATGTACACATTTAAAAAAGGTGAATAAATCAACCATTTACATTGTAAATCAGAGGTCAAAATCGAAGAGAGCAAAATGAAAACATCCTCTGCAAAAAGACGTTATATCAGCAAACGGGACATTCTCCAGCTGCACATTAATATTCTGTTTATGAATAAAGAAAAAGAGACGACTAGTTCAAGGCCCACATTTTACTTGCCTGACTTTTAAAAATGAATGCTAAGACCTCACATTGAAAATAAGGAATATGTGTCTCCCAGCTTTTCCATGCAACACATATTCTAGCAACACATATCCAAATACTAAGCATCTTCACATTGTGTAAAAGTGACAGAAGCAGGTTTGTTTCTTCTATACCCAGAACTAAATCTCTTTAGTCTGAAATTTGACAATCATTACAGAGGTATATATATATATATACACGGTATACCTTTTTAAATGACTCCTAAAACACTCTCATTATCTGATGTTTTATCTCTGAGAGAACACTGCAGTCTGCTGTCATTTGTCTCCTCTCATTTCTGTTTTGCCGATTCTGTTCTTCTGACAGACTGTCTTTATCGATCCTAGATACTGAAAGATAGCCCTCTTTTATCTTTCTGGAATCTCAGTCCATTACATATGCCTCCAGTGAGAAACTGGAGGATGAGTGAAAGTGGAGACAGCGGGATCAACAGAGAACAGTTTGAGACCGAGCAAAAAGCAGAAGGGATGATTTTGGAATGAGAGGATTAAGCGAAGTAAGACAGCTAAACTGAGGAGGGACAGGTACATGAGACAGATGGAGATATAGATGGGGAAGGGGGCAGAGGGAGAGCAGCAGTAATCACTTCTCACTCTGACGGGGTGCGTAAATTAAGCTTTTAGTAGTGTAGAGATTGCTGCTGCCTTCAACCCTTCACTCACAGCATAAACATGACACTCAGTGGGGGTATTGCTTTCATAATGTGTTTGTGGCATTTGTTTGTGCAGGCATGAATGAGGCTGTGTATTTAAGTATCATGTATTACACTGTGCATTAAGTGTGTGACTGTTGTTGTGTATTTCATTGTTGGGATTGCATCAAAGGATAAGGCTGCCTTTCATAATTGTTGCCCCATGCCATTATATTGTCATTTCAAAGTGAGAGAAAAAACATGTTTTCCTTAAAATCTTGCAATATTCTTCTATTTACTGTCAATGCAGTACATAAATTATGTGTGACTTACATTAACATTGTGAAATATGGCATTTGAGCTACAAAAATCTGGTTTCAGAATAATAATTTACATTTTTTACCTGAAAATGTATGTCAATGGCCCCTCAAGTTTTACAACAGAAACCGCTATCAATGAGTGTTTGTTGCCTTTGTGTCTTGCAGCAGTTAAGTACAATACACCATCTCTTAAGCATTCATGTTGATTCTACATTTCCTCTTAAAACTCATAAACCCACCAAAGCAGATTAACTAGCAGTTGGCTGGGAATTACATTCTAGTTTAGATTTATTGGTTTTGTCTTTTTATGCTTGACAAAAAATAATATTATACATTTACTATCAATACCATTTAGACATGTGGAAGAGCTTTTCGGTTTCACATGGTGGACATATCTCTTCATAATAAACATAACCAATTACGTTTATTCCTCAAATCTCATCTAGAAAAGCCTTGTACAAAGGCAAACTCGTCTGTGGTTCTATTAAAAAACAAATAAGAGTGTTTAACTCAGCTGAGTGGTTGAATCACTAAACAGCTGCAATAACATCTTTACCTTCTACCATGTTGTTTAACAGCAGGTGCGACATCTGACGTATGCTGTGTGTAGCCACACTTTCTGGCGTTCAGTGTGTATGTGTAAGAACAGATCTCTATTATATGTTGACTTGACAGCTTTGACAGTGTGTGCACGCATGTGTCTGCAATAGTGATGCGTAGCTGAGTCTCTTATTGTATGCCTCATTGTTACGGTGTGTGCAGGAAGCAGGACCCAAATGCAGATTAAAGTGTCAAAAATATCTCCTTTATTTCAAGGCTATACTAGAAACAAAGACAGAACAGAACACTCACCGAAGACCAAGTCAAAACACAAGACAAACCGACAAAGACAGACAGAAAAACCAGAACTTAAATACACACAAGACTAATTATACAAACAAGACACAGGTGAGGAGGGAGGAGGAGAAACACAGGGACACCAGGTGCACACAATCGGGTAATAAGACACACCAGGGAAACTAACGACAGGGAACCACAGATAGATCTAAAGACAAAACACAATGCAGACAGAAAACCAAAGACAGATCTAGACAAGACACAACACAACACAGACAGAAACCGGCAAGACAGGAGGTGAAGACCTTTCAAAATAAAACATGAAACAAAAGACAGAAAAAGACAAGACAAAATACAATAAAGACAGATCTTGACACTCATGAGTTAAGCTGCAACAATGAGTATGCTTTAGTAAATTAATGATTATTGTGTTGTTAAATGAAAACACCGTTTTGAAAACTGCTCAGTCTGAATATGATATTTAGCAGATTTGTTTATACCATTCAAATGTTTTGGTAAAGCAAAATGGACCATTCAAGATTGTAATACATTGTGATGAGGCGATTAAATTATTCTCAGCCCTACTTTTCCTATTTTTCATGCTTTGACATGTCAGTACTCTTGTAACATGGTGTAGCAGGGCTCATTTTATGGCCCAAAAAACAATCCCTATATGATGCAAGAATGAAGTGAGAAAATGCAAGAAATATCCACTGTGGCCTTAAGCCTTCTTCTTATTATACTAAGCAAAAAATAATTAGACTAACTTTGATAAAATTAGATGACAAAGTATGAAACAAGCAATTTTCAGCTGTTGATTTTGGATGGTTAACGGTTCAATTTGTAGAAGATACCAACAAATCTCTTGGTGGATACAAGCATGTCAGGCTCATAAAGGAAGTTATGAAATGGACAAGTGTGTGTATGTGTGTCTGCTTGTTTATTTCTGCATGTCTGAAATTGGTTTTTCTCCCTCACTAATAAAATGTGCCTGATGTCTTATGAGGTCTGAGAGACACACCGTGACTCACTAACATGGTCCCTAAACTGAGACAGCTTTAAGTGGCTTCCTCTTCTGCTCACTTTCCGTCTCCTTCACTTTCTCTCGAGCCTGTGTTCATGTCTCAATCTTACTTTTTAACTTTGTCCTCCCTCCCTGCCTGTCCGTCCTACAGGTATTTGATTTTAACTACCTGTACTTACCTCAGTGTGCCTTCTGGTCTCTCCCCACTGGTATTCCAGAGCCAATTATGTTGTTATTAAAAAATATACCCGATCCAATCAACAGCTAATTAACTAGCTAATGGGAGAATAATGACCCAGGCTGAGAGCTCCAGAAGATATGGATTGAGTGCAGAGCTGTGAGGAGTGTTAGGGGAGAGCTGGGCTGCAAATGGAAAAGTCCAATAACAACGGAGGAGAACGAAGAGAGAACTGGTGTGTGGTGGAGCAGGTGGAGAGGAGGAGAAAATGATCGGTTGATGACAGACTGTGATGAAAGCAGATATTGATGAAGTCACTGACAGATATGCCCTGCTGCTCGTCCAGCTGTTACCTGAGCCAGAGGCAGCGCAGCTGGGGACGAGGCAGCAGGGAGGAATGTCAAACTATGTCTTGGTGGCAGATGATGGGGTGAAGTGCAGAGGACATGTCATGCACTTCCAGTGTCAGCTATTCTTAAAATATTTCAACATGTGCTTGAATCAATTATTACAAATTTGGAGAGATGTGTTCACTCTCCTGCCTAGGAGTTAGATTAGAATATAGATACCAGTCTGAGGTATGTCACTAAATACAAACTTGACACGGGGAAGATCATTCACATGTCTAATGGCAAACTACTCATTTAAATTCCAGTAGGACCCAGATGAGGGTGTTGCACTTTTTCTTTGTACATGTGATGTTTCGGTGTTGTTGTTGTTTTTGGTTTTGTTTCTTTCCTTTAACTGTCAAGTGGGAACTAAGTATTTTTTGTAGTGAGTTTTCTTGTTTTTCTTATTATCCTATGATACTGTGTGAATGAGAAAATATGAAGGACAGACCATATATTTCCATTTATTTAGTTTTTTTTAGAAAGGGGCAGGTAACATAAGATTATTTTCTTCTCCCTGCTCCCTTTCGGTCAATGGTGTCTTAATAGAGACATGTTTTGTAAACAATTATTATACATACCATGAATGGAACAAATAAAAATGAAAATGCTATTTTCATTGTTGAAGATATTTAGTTTTCATGTCATTGGTTAGTTGGTTCCTCGGTTGTTGTTGTTTTTGTAGTAGAATATGCCTGAGATTTTGTATGCACCTAGCCAGAGAAAAAGCGTGATAGCGATCCAGATTTTAGTTTTTTATAAGGACGAATAATTTAAACAGTTCACATTTCAAGTAAAATAAAATAAAAAGAATATACATACAAAATCAGGACAGAATAACTGTTTTTATATTATAAATGTTTTAAGTTTTCAATGTTAACTAATGAATGCTGGATTTGCTCCCATATGTTTTAAGTGGAATTATGATATTTGTGTATTTTCGAGCTAAACTCCTTGGTTGCGATTAAGGTATCTCTCACTTCTAAATTACATAATAATTCTTAAAATATTGTTACATCCTTGTGACAAGATGTTGGACAGCTTGAAGGAGAACTTGACTATGAGCCAGACATTACCGCTCAACATCAGCGGACAACCTCACTAATGCTCTCGTGGCTGAGTTGGAGCAGATCTCTGCAGCCAGGTTTCAAAATCTCATAGAAAACCTTCCGGGGAGTGTGGAGACTGTGTTTGAAATCAGCCTGTAGTTTTGTCAACACACGACACACAAACACAGAGATTACTTCACTATTTGTAAAGGTCACAAAATGGATGATGAATGAGACCGGATACAGTACATATGAAAAACTTTGAATATCTGTGTGTTCCTCCACTTTAGCCTGCTTCCCTTTGCTTTCATTCTGCCTCTAATACGATAATGACATTTTCTGTTCGGTTTCTATCAACATCACTCACACTAATCACTGCTACTTCCTGCCTCAGCACTGAGGAGATCTAAAGTGCCTCTCTCTCTCTCTCTCTCTCTCTCTCTCTCTCTCTCTCTCGACAGGTGGAGGAGATCCGGGGTTTTATTGAGTCTCTGGCAGAGAAAGTTGAGGAGGTGAAGAGGAATCACAGCGCCATCCTCGCTTCACCCAACCCAGATGAGAGTAAGGCTGTTTTTTCAATTTTGTATACAGTTTACTCTTGTTTTATTACCTCAAGCATAATTCACTCAAGTTCAACACACAGAGACTTTCACAACTATAGGGATGCAAAATACTGTAAACTGGCTCCTCCACTGGTTACAAAAAGAAATCCAATTCTCAGTTGGATAGAAGTCTATAAAACAAATTACACTAAGTCTCAATGTATTCGTTTAACAGTAAACATTTCCACAAGTTTCAAGTATTTTTCAATACAGCTTGATGTTTATTTTAATTGTATTGTCTGATTGACAGTTAATACAGCAGGGTAAGTATTAGGACGTGGCCTAGTCTTTTCAACAGCAACCTGTCAATCAGAATAGAGTGTATCAATGTGTATCCTTCTACAGCTCCATTTCACAATATTGTCACAGTTATCCTTCAAAAACAAATTGTAAACAGCTAACATTCATTTATTTCAAAGAAAGAACCATTTTTACATTCTTAAAAAAATAATGAAAACGAAAAGGAATTGGTCATAGAAGCAAAAGGCCTGCCTGTTGACTGTTGAGAGCCATCATTTCACACTAATCAGTGCTCTCTGTCCTTTTGAGCGTGTTAGGCTCTCACTGTGAAATCTCTTACACCCTTGTCCATTTTCTCCACTTTTCTGTTCCTCTTCATTGCTTCTAAGTCCTGTCTTTACCTGTTAGCCTGCCATGAACACCATCTCAGTTTATTTTACTTCTCTTTGCCCGCTTTAACCACTGTTCTCTTTACTTTTGTGAAGTACGTGCTGGATGCTACAATCCTTCTTTCCCACTGTCTTTCTGCTCTCCCATCTCAGTTCTCTCACACCTTCTCCTCTCATATATGTCAGAGCATTGATCTGGACCGCTGCTTTCACAAGGAGGATGTTGATCACACTAGTAACATCGCCCATTCCCTTTTCCTCTCCTTGATTCCTTGCACAAACCTGAAAAAGCATCGATCTGCTTGCAGCAGCGGGCATAAAATGAGCTCTTTAACTAGTCGTTGTGTGCAGATGACACACAGAGGGGAGCGGCAAGGTGCTGCATTCAAGATACAAATTATTCCACAGGTTTCTTCCTCTGTGGCTGAAATCGATGCTCAGGGTATGTGTGTCTGTGCCTGAGAAATGTGCAAAGCAAATTTAAATGTCATGGTCGTTCATTACACCGAGGTCAGCGTGTTTTTCGCTGTCTGCCGGTTGCTTTGTGATCACTGACGGACTGGACGGACTGGAGTTATCTGAATACCATCATCAAGGACCCTATCTCATGAGCAGCATTTGATGTTGTGTACGTGTGCTTGTGCAGTATGTGTGTTCAGCTCTTCCTCTTATAAATCTAATTTATATACCAATTTGCTTCATTTTTTGTTTGGAAACATAATGCGCCCCAGATACATTTTTAATCAAGCAATGAAGTTGGGGATTTTTATTTCTAAATTGTAAGAAATAAACTATTTGTTTTAAAGCATGACATTTTGTGCATAGTATATGTATCTGATATTAGCTCACTGTCAATGCTTTTCTGGACTATATCCACAAATAAAGCATGGTTTATGTTGTAAGGCAAGTCAATCAGAGAATCACCAATTCATCGTGATTGATTTCCTGGGCATCATGAATACCTGTAACACATTTCATTGAAAACTGTCCAATAGCTGTCAAGATATTTCACTGATTACACAAATGCATCACTGACTTGCTCTGTGGGCCAAATCAAACCAATATGCCTACATCTTTGATTTGGTACAGTAGGAGAATAGCAGCAATGTGCCAGTTTCTTCCAAGAAATGGTAGACGTTGGAAAAAGGGTATTTAAATAAATAGAGTTCCTAGAAATCAGGTTTTCTTTGCAGGCAATCAGAGCTTTGCAGTGCTGTCGTTTGTAGATGTGTGTGTAAAGTGTCTGTCCCTGTGACTGCTGTCGTAACAGTGACATTTCTGTGCGTCAGCCTCCAATGGAGTGTGTCACCAAAACTAATTGCACAATGACATTTTAATGTGAAGTCTAATTTGCTTTTAGATGTGCGCTGATTCATTTTTGTATTGAAAATGTTACGCATATCAAAGACCAGTGTGGTCTTTCATAATTTTTATATGAATGCTTTTTCTGTCGGTTGTTTTGCAATATAAAGTCTGGCATTATTTCATGTTCCTCCCTGTGGTGAGAGGAATCTGTTCTGTTTCTGTTTGTCTTACCAGACAGAACTTGAGTGTCTTCCGCTTTTTTTTCTCATGGTTTCAAATCTTAATCCTTCCCTTCTCAGTCTTTATCTGAAATAGGCGCTGAGACTTTAAGTGTGTTACAACTCAGCGTAAAATTGTACGGCGGTTAACCTTGTGTTTCTGTCACGGTTTCATAATCACATCACATCTCTCCAGCCACCACTCACCTGGCCATCTTTACAACCCGACCACCACCACAACTTCCTCTTACTCCCAAAGACATTCCCTCGTCATCTCCAGTAAACACACACACGCACACATTTCAATACAATGTGTGTATTTGTGTCTGTGTGTGAGTGCTTGTTTTTACTTAGTGGTTGTTAAGGATGTTGTGTGTTTGTGTGGGCTGTGCGCTGCATCTCTGAACGGTAGTACGTTCAGTAATGATAGATTAGGTAATAGCCATCAGGTCATAATGGGTATTGAACCTGTGTTTCCTCATGAGCAAATTCCTCTAATGCAGGAAGGGAAGAGACAATTGCAATTTATTTTTAGAAGCATGATTGAATTCACATGGGCCATTAAGTAATTGCAGTATTTGTTTCGTTTTCTAGCATTGTTTATTAGCTTTGTGCCGCTCGTTATTTTGATGGATGAGCCTGTTCTTGATAGATCAATGAAAGGCCAAAAGTCAGTGATGATTGCTTCTCCTGCTGGAGCATCAGTGACCTTTACGCTCAGCTTTTCCTTTGAGAGTGGGAGGATTATATATAAAATTAAATGAGACGTTTAGACGTTTGATGGCTGGGTACGGCTAATTGCCTTTAGCTGTCTTTTCCCTTCTTTCTTCACCTTAATGATAGGATTAGGTTGCATTCTACTGCCCAGCCTTTGTTGATATTATATCTGCCATTAATACTTCTATACAAGGTTTTTGGCTGGGAGTTGTGTGTGTGTGTGTGTGTGTGTGTGTGTGTGTCCTTCTGTTTTGTCTTTCCTCTGAATTTAATGTAGGTTGTCTTGTAAGCCCATGTGGGTTTGGTGTTGTGAAGCTGACAATTGAGCGGCCCGACCAAGCAAGGAGGCAGAGGCAGAACGTCCAAACATACAACCCGGTGTGGGCATTTATTAACTCATACACATGACACAGCCTCAATCTGCTGCTCCTGTGCGCACAGTCACCAGCCACCACACTACCAGCCTCCAAACAGACAGGGCAACAGAGCCTAAATACACACCCACACTAATCAAACCAACAGGACACAGGTGAGGGGGGAGGAGACAACACAGGGCACCAGGTGCACACAATCAGCAACAGACATGGGGATAGGGGAACACTTTTCAACATAAAACCAGGAAACAGAGACAGACAAACTAAAACACAGACAGATGCACAAACTACACTTTGCCACCAATGAAGCTACAGAATCCGTAACGGAGGCCGAGATCTATGGCCCCAGAGATCACCTCCGTTACAGGTGTATGTCACTAGAATAAAAATACTCACCCATAAGAACTGTTTTTGCTCCATTAGACAGTTCAAGGTTCAAGGCTTTTATTTGTTATACGTACATAAATACAGTGTAGTTATGTTGATGAAAATCTTAGGTCACAGGCTCCACAATAAAACAGAAAAACAGAAAAAATAGAGCAAGTAAATACAGAAATAAATAGTACAATTGTGAAATAGTGCAATAAAAGTCTACAAGTGATTGGAATATGATATATTAGATAAATCATTTCCAAGTAGCAGCCAGATGAATGTTATGGATTTTGTTTCAGAAGTTCAGGTGTTTAACAGTCTTATTGCCTGTGGGATGAAACTGTCCCTGAATCTGGTGGTTTTAGTCCGGATGCTGCGGCATCAGACAGAACAGTTTGTGGCTGGGGTGATGGGGGTCTTTTATTATCTGGAGGGCTTTCTTCCTGAGGCGCTGGGAGTAAAGGTCCTCCATGGATGGCAGCTCCGTCCTGGTGATGTTCTGTGCAGTTTTCTCCACCCTCTGTAAAGCCTTACGATTGAGGGCGGTGGAGCTGCCGTACCGGGCCGTGATGCAGCCAGTCAGGACTCTCTATGGTGCACCTGTAGAAGTTGCAGAGTATCCTGGAGTCCATGTTGAACCTCCTCAGCCTGCGGAGGAAGAAGAGCCACTGTCTAGCTTTCTTGGTGATGGTGTTAGTGTGGTGAGTCCATGTCAGTGATGTGGACCCTGAGGAACCTGAAGCTGCTGACTCTCTACCGTAGTCCCATTGATGGTGATGGGGGGTGTGTCCCTCTTTCTGCTGCTTCCTGTAATCCACAATCAGCTCCTTGGTTTTGCTGATGTTGAGATGGAGGTTGTTATCCTGGCACCAAGATGTCGCCGTCGGTGATCTGGCCGATGACGGTCATGTCGTCAGCAAACTTCACGATGGTGTTGGAGCTGTGTGTGGCCAGGCAGTCGTGTGTGAACAGGGACATACCACCATAGTCCATGTCCAAGTGTACATTGTTAAGTAGTAATAATAGTCAAAGCCAGAGAATCTGGGCTATTGTTATAAATAATGTTGTATAGTTTGTGAAAGGCAAAAGGGAATTTAGAAGTGTTTGATCATCTTACACTGAGTTTATGGTGTTATTTTAAAAACTACTGGGAATAATTAGTGAACAAAAGCACAAAACAACAAATTTCCCAACTAAATTCCAGTTAATTAATAACAAAAACAAGATCATCCGTCCACGTAATTACATCTCACACATAAACATGACAATACAATCACACTAAGGGGCAATTCTCTGTTCTACCACCAGCCTAACATGTATGTCTTTGGACTGTTGGAGGAAACC